AGGGATGGTTTGAGCGATGGCTGCCTGAACTGCAGCCTGTCAGGAATCTCTCCGAGGAGCAGCTCCACCACGATGAGCAGCTTATCAACGGTCTGCTTGGAGCCCACAGGGATGTGCTGTGGAGCCTTCCTCAGAGCGTTGGTCAGAGTCCGGCGGGCTTCCGGGTATTTGAGCTGGATGGCTCTGATCTGTCCTTTGTGGTAAAGCTATCTGGCCCACTCGTTGTTGGCGAGCTTAGGGAACACAGACTTCGACACAAGCTTCTCTGCCTGGTCGTACATCGTCTGAAGTCCTGTTCTTCGGACGATGGATGGGCCCACGATCACACATTGCCACGCAATGGCATTTGAGCTTGGGGCGGCCTCCCAGGATCATCTCAAACGTGGTGATGACAGCCTATACATTGTGGGCACCGTGAATGGGGGCGACCCTTTGCATCCCTGAAAGGCATCTCATACTGCTGCAGCATCTGCCTGCTAATCATGCTTCAATGGTAAATGATGACGTTGAGGTGAGTCAGGTGTGAAATTCTGGCTCCCAGTTTGCAATAGTAGAGAGAGGGGCGATGATGAGGAAGGGCTCTTTGATGCTAATACGGGGAATCTCTTCCGATATGTTATGGACTGTATGGGCTTTCCTAGGTGAATCTCGTCAGCCAAGATGCAGTTCCGCCTGTTGTACAAGTTAAAAAGAAACCAGTTAAGCACCTCTAGCTGGTAATCCCTTCGTTGGCGCTAACCACTCCGCCACCGAAGCACACCCCTGAAGTGGTGTTTCAAAAGGTTTTGGATTTCTGAAAATCATTTAGGTAGGAGCTGTCATAGAAACTAGTAAAAATATACAATGTAGAAAAAGTATCAGATTTATAATCATTTGGTCTAAAAAAAAGGGTCAAATGTTATTGGATTACAACGAATGGATGACGTTAACGGGAGATCCCCTTCTGTTTGTAACAAAAATATTAACTTCATCCTTGTTTTTATCACCCATCGTCTACATGGACTGATAACAGATGCAATACTCACAAATTTAATGTCATAGCTTCAGCATGTAGCATGAAAGTGTTCACAGTGATGCGTCCAGCCTTTCCACAGTTTAACACCATCCTACACACAGGACTGGAAACATCTTTATTGCAAAACACTGTAGTAACACTGAGTCACTGGCCTACTTTTACTCACTAATAGTCCTGCCACTATCAGATAGAATAGAAGGGAGAACAATAAAAGTGGTATTCAAAAAAGTTACCATAAGATGAGGCCGTAACAAGAGTCCTTTAATTTTAACGCATCTCTCCTCAAACGCATCACAATTCAGATGCACTAAGGCTGGAGTCAGAGACCCCCAGTCTTTAGAAAGGTGACCCTTAAAGAAATGAAATGTTAAATCTTGTCAAGTGTTTAACGGTTTCTCTATTACCTCTGGAAAAACATTGGAATTGTGGGAGATTGGAAAATTGGACTTCGTCTGGCACAGGAGAGAGCATTTGCAGTTCAGGTGTTAGTTTTTTTTTTTGGGATAATCAGCCCTTCAGCTACATCAGTCTCTATTGCCATGTTTCACCAAATTGGTAGCAGCATGTCATGAATGTTCTTTGTTTTCTGGGCTGGCTTACTATTTGCCACTTTATGTTCTCCTTAATTCTGTAAATTAAAGAAAGCAGAGTGCCCTAGCTCGTTATTGCCCTTGTTCCTTACAGTTATCACACCTATTAATACATGCCTCTCTGCCAGTCTTTGCCAGATTGTCTCCTCCTTCTCCTTATAAGGACTATTACAGTTATTGTTTTCTCTGCCAGCCTCCCTGTGCTCTCTTGATCCTCATAGCCTGAGACTGTATTCACATCCTGAACTACTTCTGTCTTTCACCAGTTTTTTTCAGGTTGCCTCCTGTCTGCTCAAAGACAGTCATCAGTCATTTTCCTGCTCAAAGTCTGCTACTGGGCTCCATGCATCTGCTTGTCATCATCTGACTCGGCCCTCATCTGCCTCTTCTAGCCTGTTACCTGTCTGTTCAACTTTTCCCCTGCTTGATCAATGGTCACCTGCCTGTTTAAGCTCTCTGTCTGCCTGAGTATCTACTTTTCTCTGTTTAATATTACGTTAGTGCCGCAACAAACCATTATTTTGTAAATCGATTAATCTGTAGCTTATTCTTTTTTGATTCATTATCAGATAGCCAAAGGATTTTTTTGTGAAATTAAACCAGGTTAATTTTCCACTTGAGGGTATGAGGATGAGCATATTGGAAGAATTTTTTTTTCCTCTTAAATGCAAAAATTTTATCTTTTTTTTTTACAATTGTGGAAAAAAAGTACATTTTAAAATGTTACAATTTTTACAATTTTACTTTGTCAGCTAAAGGCATGGTTTAGAGTCTCTATGCTCCAGTTAGCGATTAATAAATTACTAAATTAGTCAACGATTATTTCAGTAATCGTTTAATCCGACTAATTGTTTCCGCCCAGATTATATCATTCTGTATATTGTCATGATTACGCTTAACTAAGAAACACTGCTTATTACGCATCCTAGATCTGAATGCATGAAATATCACACATTTTCACAACAGCATTTGAAATTGTCAATCAGTGTTGCTTCCTAAGTGGACAGTTTGATTTCACAGACGTTATATTTGATTGAAGTTATATTGTATTGTTTATGTGTTACCTTTATTTTTTGAGCAATGTATTTTGGCTATAGGGATTGATGCATCATTGATATTAACTGTTTAATCAAAGGATTTCTAAACCAGTCAGTTTAGTGGGATGGATGAATGAATATATCGTCATTGACAAAGAAGTTGAAGTGGAATCAGGGCTTGCTACTCCCAATATATAAACCTAGAGCCAAAAGTGCCCATATGCCAACAAATGACTGCAGGATCTGGTTGGACAATCTCTGTAAATTGAGATGTGTTTGAATTGGTGCAGTGTCTGGTCCTTTAAAGCTAAATAGTTTCTATTGTTGCTCTTTTAAATATTGTGTTTTTTCTGCTGGTTGTATTCTTGTCTGTCTTTGTTGCCATTGGTTTGGGTTTTGTGATTAGGGGCTAAAATAGGAATGTTTTTTCTTTACCTTTTCAATCCTAAAAATGTATCACACAAAGTCTTTTGAAAGGGAAAATACATTGCCAAGTTATGATTTTGACATATATGGAGCTGTAAAAATGCTTAAAATGTTTTTATATAGTTATTAGTTTATGCCCAGTTGAAAATTAGAAGAGTGAAAAGTCAAAAGATTGAAGTGACTATTCTGAAGTAATAATAACCAAAAAAACGTAATTTAGTCATTTAGTGCTGTATTCAAAATACAGCACTAAATGACCGCTATATCTATGTGACAGAGCCCATGTTGTATTGATGCCATGCAAATGTCCTACACTAATTAGGAACATAAATAATGTAATTTTTTTTTTTTTTAGGTTCACATTGTGTAAAACTTTTTTAAGAAGTGCTCTTTAATGTCTCACGATTGGGAAACTCTGGTACTCATAGGATTGAACATTATTTTATTAACAGAAATGAAAAATTTTACCTGTACAGCTGAAGAGAAAAACACAACCCAGAAAATAAGAACGAAATGATGAAATATAATGAAGTTAAGAAAAGCTTAGGAATTTAGAACTTTGCAAATCTCCATTACTGAATGTGTGGATAAAAGCACAGTTTTACTTTTTTCTTCAATAAACAAAATGCTGGTTTGCTTCTGGACAACGTTGTGGTGCTTTTCTGTCCAACAACAATCCAATACTCTGATGCCTGGGATTCATTGCTCTGTGCTTGGAATTGGTCATAATTCTGTTCTGCGGTGCTCAACAGAGGTGTCTGAGATTCAACCTGTGCTAACTTCACTAAATCCACCCTGACACCACCTAAAAGCTCCCATCATCTTTATAGAAAGCCACTCGTTCCTGACTGGAAAGAAAACTGGGTCAGCTGACAGCAGCTTTTTCTTGTCTGTTGTGGGAAGACCATGAAGATGCCAATGTTAAAGTGGAGCTGATCTACTTATTATCTTCTTCATAGTCATGACCTGAGGTTTCATTCTTATTCTTTCTTTGTGCAGGAACAGTTTAATGGAACTTGATCAATTTTGTTTAGTTTGAAGCTCTTCAAAGATGAGAACCTTTGGCAAACAGAAGTTTCTAATTCAACATCGTGTCAAAGTTATTAGAAAACTCTTTAGATGAAGCAGGTTATATCTAATTTGGGTTTTGTAGGGTTTTTTTTATTGCAGCTTTCGTGGCTCAGAACTCCCACAAGTATCATCTGCATTTTTAATGAGTGATATTTAACTGTGTAAAGTGTCTTTCCTCCAGAAAGGTTCTTCTTCAGCTGTTTCAGTTGAATACACTGAAGGATGACCCAAGAGAGACTTCCATCTGTCAGTGAATTCAAATACTCTGATGCCAAATCTATCTGCATGGGACCAATGTTACGGTGGATGTAATACACAAGGGTAACAAATCAGCTTCAAATGTCAGCAAGGATCCAAACATAAATGTTGTGGCAGCTCTGTGTCATCTTTGCATTTTACTCTTTATAGCTTTGATAATCTGCCCAGATGCTGATATTCACTAAGTCTCCTGACCAAGTCTGTGTGCCCATTTCCGTGATCCGTATTTTCACATGCCTTGTAAAGATTTCTGGGGAAGTTGGTTCCATTCTGTTTCCATGGACCAGAGTCATTTGTTAAAAAGTGACTCTGCAGAGGAATTGAAAAGCTTTTGTGTATTTTTTTTTATTACGGAAACAGCCTTGCAGTCATGGTGTTGATAACTGATGCAACTCTCTGAAACAAAGGCTACATTAAGCAAAGCTGAGGATTTGTGTGACTGTGAAGACAGTACAGTGCTGACAGCATTGGAGGTCCTCACTGAAGAGGCCTTTTCTTATAAAACAAAAATAGTTTTTTATTTTTGTTATATTAAACATGTTTTCCTGCTTTCTATGTTTGTAAATTTAAACATTCATAAACTGAATTTCTTTTGTCTTTCAGAATAAAGTCATGACTATCGACAGCATCAAGGTCAAATTACAGGTGAGAAATCAAAAATCAGGACCCAGGTTTTACTCTGTTTTAATGTGTAGGTTATTATAAATAAGGAATTAAGTGTAAAGTTACTGCTGCTTCACTGCCTTCATCATGACACCCAGGAGGGAAGAAATGCTGAGTTAATGAGGCGTCATTTTATCCTTCAGTCAATTAGCCAGCAGCTATACCTGACTGAAGACGCCATCAGGAGACACAGAGGAGGAGGGTGCAGCTTAATGTCAGTCAAAATCCTTTAGTTAATTATACAACCTTCATGCTCCCTGTTTTTCCACCTTTAATTGATTCATATGTCAGTCTGTCAAAACTGCTCATTCAGTTTTCTTTCAAGGATGAGCTCACTTACTATTGGGTATTTAATTGTGGAACCACTTTATGGTTTGAAAGAAAAGCCCTTTGCCATATTGTTTACATTACTTGTATATGTATACTTGTATACTTGTATATGTATAGATTATGGGAGATGTTGTTTTAATGTCCACATAATTTTATTTCATTTGTAATTTTTTATTTCATGTTTTGTTGTTGGACCCCAGGAAGAATAGCTGTAGCTTGCTACAGCTAATGGGGATCCTAAATAAACTAAACTAAAATAAACTGCACCTTAAAAATGTCGTTTGAAATCAAAAGCCGGAGCTGAAATACTAAATCTTTCCCCACTTATTCAGTTCAAAGCACCAGTTATAATCATAAGTAAAGTTCTGGTTGGGGCAATTTTACACGGATGTGTCCCCCTCTAATGCCATTTCTCTAGGGTTAATAAAAATAATGCCTGCTTGTATTAGTTTGGTTTCAAAACTGGCTCTTAGATAGTTGAACTGTGTGAAATATTTAG